TTTAGCAACGAACTTTATTTCCATGAGGATATGAACGTTGCATCTCATTTGGGCAACGTAACTTTATTTAACTTTATTTCTCACGATGGCAACAAACTTTGTTTATACAAACTTATTTACTCATTTTTGCAATATATTTTTAGACTCCTAGCACTTAATTTTTTTATTTCTTTTTCTAATTTAATTTAACTACTTTATTTTAATACACGAACATTTTTTGTGCACAAATATTAAATATATTTGATTTTTTTAAGCCACAAACATTTTGCGATCCAAATCCTCCCCTATTAAATACCCCTTTTTCTGTAGGGTTAATGTCATTATTGAATTCTTTTAAAATTATATCAAAGCCTAAATAAAAGTTATAGAATTCTTTTAAAATTATATGAAAGCCTAAATAAATAACATATTATATTATGATTGATAGTAATTGCATTATATACTAACAAAGACGTTTTAATGTGTATATACTCTTTTACATACTACAAAAAACAATAACGGGTAACTTTTATCAATAAAGTAAATATGGATGTTATCATTGATACAGTAAAATCATTGACTTCTTTTGTCACATATACCTATTTACACTCAACCATAACCATCTTGATATGCATAGAGAGACAAGTAATATTCTAAGAGATTTAGAGAGAGAAAGAAGAAAAATATTGATATTGCTGTTGTGGAGAGGAGATCGGAGAGGGAGAGTGGTAGTTGGCGGCGAGAGGAGCGAACACCGGAGAAAATATAGCGAGGCGGAGAAGTGACAGTCCGATGACGGAGACGCAGTGGTTCAACGATTGGCAACAGAGACAGGTGGGGGAGATGCAGTTGGGTGGTGGCAACGACGTTATTCCAGCTTCGATTTGAATCTTTATTGTTAATATTGAGTTAAGACTTTTGTACATTTGATAAGATTTTTGATTTTGTTTTGGAGAACATCAAACGCAAACTCAGATCAAAAGCAAAACAAAACCAACCCGATTTCCGTTTCGTCTTCTTCCAACCAATCACAATGCGTTGTTGTTTCTTTCTCTTCTCGGCAAAATTTAGACGAGTACAGGTAGCGACCCCCTAACAAGTGCTAGGGGGTGGTGTTTCAAGCTGGCTAGCGAGGCCGGTAGCGACCTCCACTCCACTCAGCCTAAGTCCTGTTTGAACTTCAACCTTGTACTTTACTTTTGCATTTGAGCCTACACCTGAAATGTTTGTTCCAACGATAATAATATATGTCAAATTCATGGCTATTTTTGAAAGTTACCAATTCATGTCTAAATCTTGGAAAACACTTATACCGATGGCACTTTATATCAAGAAAAATCAAGTAATCGAACAGGGGAAATCCCTTGTAGTTCCCGCCAAACAAAACGACGTCATATACGTTCGAGATCCATTTGCCTGCAAAAAAAAAAAAAAAAAAAAAAAAAAAAAAAAAAAAAAAACGCATATTGAAAGCGAACCTCTGTCTCATTGCGATCAACTGAACGAAGAAATCGAAGTTTATTTCTCCAAGATTCTCATCTAAATGACACAAAATCGGGATTCGGATCATTGCATAGGATATCCATTGTACCTAAAATCGCCATGGAAACATCTCCTCCCGCATCAAAATTCCGATTTAGAGATCACGGTGATGATATGGAGAACGGAGAATCTGTCGTCGATGATACAAGTTCTGAACCGTCTTCAGTCACCAGCGATGAAGACTCCGACATCGAGTCTGATGAGCTTGCATCAATGACCGCCAAGGTAGACACCGGACTTATATATCTAATATGATCGGCCTAAATTACTTTGTATCTCTGGAACATTATATAGTAACTATCCCGGATTTTAAAATTTGGATTTGGAAACAAATGGGGGCATTGACTTCGAACATTCAAACTGATTTTGGTCAAATGCTAAAGAACTTGCTGAATGTCGTTTCTATATATAGATTCCGAAAATCTGGCCGTGTTCTTGTGTTGCCATGGTGATGAGTTTTTCATTGTTTTAGGGGATCAATCATCTATGTTTAGAACTCATTGAGCTGAGGCAAGCATCAGAAGTTGATTTCCAAGATAATATAATCTCCAATTACTTATCCTTCATCAGGTGAACTTCAATATCTTTTACTAATACGAGTTTCCCTGATGAAAGCAGGATTTGATATTGGTCATCATGTTTACAGGGTTTTTAGAGAAACAAAAGGTATAAACAATGAAGTAATGCAATTGAAGTATCATCTGATGTCCCAAAAACAGCTTGTTCAGAATCTGATGGATGGTGCTTATCTAAAGGCTGTATCAGATGATCCAATGGACACAGTCGTTGAGGAACACCCACTTGATGATCAAAACCCTACTACTTTTTTCAAGACTTGTGCTGATGAGGTATTAGAAACCCTAGACAACCTTCTGTTCGAGCATAGATTAGAAGAAGCATTGGGGATTTTCGAGATAGAAGATGGAAATTCTCCAAAAGTGAAGTTACAAGAGGATGTTTCACCAGATGTATGGATGTGCTATAAATCTGACATGGCTGAAAGGAGGGTAAAGCTTGCAGATAAGCTAACACTGGTGGCTGACAACACAAGAATCTCTGCTGCAGAACTGCAAAAATCATTAGTTGGACTTTCCAGCCTTGGTTTTGATCATCTAGCAACTCGTTTACTTTTCAAATATTACCATACTCGCATTGCTTCTGGTGTAAATAATCTGCAGTCCTCAGCAAGATTTCTACCTGGGATTCACATTCATGATCTAGCAAAATACATATTTTCCATGATGTATCAAGCAGCAAGGAGTTTTGTTATGTTACATGGAGAAACTTCAACTTATGATTCAGAACTTATGAAATGGGCATGCGAGGAAACAGAAGCTTTTGCTTCTTGCTTCAATACACATGTTAGATTGATTTCACAGACTGGTGACGGGTTGTCAATGGTGGTCAACTCTTTACATTCTGCCATGTCATATTGCTCTGTGTTAGAAAGCCAAAAGTTAGTGTTACAACCGTGTTTGATCGAACACATTCTTCCTTGTATACAAGGTTTTTTGAAGACTCGTTTTGATCATTTCAAGAAAGTCATCAGCATCTTCACATCTAATGATGTTTGGGTTATGGGAAGATATCTTGTATCAGGAATGTTGACAGAAGACGCCTCTTCATTGGCTGAATATTGCTTACTCACCAACAGTGGCAGAAAGTTCATGTCACTGCTACAGGTAATGCCCAAATTCCAAATCTAGATAGTTCATATCAGACCTGGTCAAATTTTCTTACTTGCGTTTTATAATTTCAGACAGCTATTGAAGATGCTTCATCTTTGGTTTCTATTTTGGGAAGTTCAATTCTTGAAGAGCTCATGAACCTGTTTACAGAGTATGCTTTCCTCCTTCAAACAGCCCTCACCCATGAAACAAACCATGTTGTAGAAGGTGCACCAAGAATCCAAAAGGCGGAATCACTGTCACAAAAAGTTTCAATATTTGCCAATTTATCAACACTCGAGCAATTCTTCTTCATTGTGATCAGAAACTTATTCAAGAACGCAAATGATTTAAAGATTGTAATTGAAAGTCACATGGAATCAGTTGCAGGCACTTTCAGTAGACTGAGAACTGAATTCTGCAAGCAATTTATACATGACATAATGTCTAATGAAGCTTCTTGCATTAGGGAGCATAGTGATATCAAGTTGTTGCAGGATCTAATGCCTTCTCTTCCTTATCAGGTAACCATTAACAATTTCCTTACACCGATTTTTTATCTGAAGTTTGAATTGATAGTGGTTTGTGAAATGAGCAGATACTGTTTCTGGAACTAAGGAAAGTAGAAGAACTTGCTGAAGAGAATGTGGTTGAATTTGATTGGTTGGTGATGTTACTGAAAGAGCTCATTGAAACTATATTTGATTGGATTTCCAGAAACCATGAAATCTGGATGACTAACAAGGAGGATACAACTGTTGATCAATCTGATAGATTAACTCAGGTAAAAGATTCTGTTTCAGCTTACAAGTGTGTCTTTAAACATGATTTAATTAACTTTTGTTTTGACAACAGTTTGCGGTTGACATGCAATTTGTGGTTGAAATCGCAAGGCGTGGAGGATACTTAACCACAAATATGATGAATTCTTCAAAAGATGTTGTATTAGAGATGGAATCAGCCATGGTTTCTGGTGGATTTGATATAAACAGGTGCATAATTCTCATTCACATTGGTATTAGAAACAGACATTGAAATATGGTATATTGTTGTGTAGATACGTGGTTGATTATGAAAAGGTAGCCAAGTCTGCCATGGAAGCTATCAAAGAGCTTGAAGCAGTTGAAGAAGAAAAATGGAAGTCGGATGAAGGGAGTGAAGAACACCAATCATATTTTTCAAGCGACTCGATTGAAGATGATGATAATGATGATGACAATGAAATGTTTAAAGAAGTTTACTTGGAACCTCAACCAACAGAGATGTCAGATGATGTTTGTGTTGAAGAGGAGGAGGGTGTTGGCGTTGTGAATGTGGAGATAAAAGAGGTTGTTAGTTTAACAACTTCTGATGAGTTGTTGCAGCTCAGGAAGATAAGAAGGGTTAGCAAAGTGGTTCTTCAAAACCAAGAATGAAGACTCCAATTTAGCAAGAACACACAAGTTTAGTAGTATTAATATTAACATATAAGTATAATCATATATGTTCAAAGGAAAAACAACAATGTGCGACATTAAAACTCTACTCCAAATGTAAGGAATTTGTCTAAGATATGAATTTTATTTTTTTGCTATAAAATGAGTATTTTGTATGTGTTTAAAAGTATTTTTCAGTCGAAAGTTTCAAGAGGTCACTTGTGTAACTTTGAGATCCCCTCGGAACACGAGGACCTTCAACAACCAGTCATTAAGCGTATTTCGCATGTATCGATTACATGTGTGAAGATATGGGGTAGCTTATGAACCCAATATATAGATTTGAAGTCGTATATACCGCCTCTTTTCACTAGAGGTGTGAATTAAATTGATTGATAATGTCGTGAACTTAATTGGAAGTCAGGAAATAGAACTACTTTATATTTACCGAGCCTAGTATGATCCAAACATCATAAACCATAAATATGTTCTAACATGTCTTATACTTGTATTATTCTTGTCAAGTTTAAATTTTTCTTCAACATTAACAAACTTTGTAGCATTATGTAACAAGTTCGGTATATTTTGAAGCCAAACTCAATCATTGTATATGTTATTCTCGTAAAAACATTAATCCTGCCATTTTACACAAAAAACAAATTGTTCATTTTCATTTCTCATACCTATTACAAACTTTCAATTACAATGGCAATCAACTAATTAGTATAATGTCATCATATGATTAATCTTAATCGACACCAAATAACCAAAACACTAAAACTGATAATAAAAAAACACACACAAAAATATCATAAACCTAATTGAGACACCATATACTATAGTTGTTTGCTTCAATTGGTTTTTGAACAATGGGTTCGCTTCAATTGGTTTTTGAACAATGGGTTCACCGAGATGTTGCTTTTCACTTATCTCATTTAACAGTTTGTGCATTTCAAAAGATTTCTCCTTGTACCAACTCTTTGGTAGCATTTCATCAAATCATTCAAAACATCCAAATATCTATCCATATTTGAAAACTTTGAGAAACCAAATAAACACTGGGGTCTTTTTAACCAAGAAACTAAAAACTTAGTTTGAATACCAAAGCAACATCTACGTAGAGGCTGGGGTTGATTTCCATGTCTACACACATAAATATAGATAAATAGACATCTCTTTTGTCATTGTAAGGGAGTGGTGTCACATTCGATGTAGAGTCACCTGTGAGAGAGAGAGAGAGAGAGACTTGCCATGCCGTGGAGCTCACCCACAAGCCTAAATAATGTTACTCCACAAAACTATTTATATAAATAGAAAATAAATTATGGCAGTGAAATATCCAACTTCTATAGAACAATGATTATTGATTACTAAGACGATATATATATTTGATAAATAGAATCATAGAACCATTAGTGTCAAAAGCCAACAGCTAACACATGCACAAAGAAACTGAGCACGTCCATTACTTCATTCATCCACATCCACTAGAGAAAGAGAAAGAGAGAATATTTCTGATCTGAAATGAAACATAAATATGACTAGCGGCTATTTTCACGACGCCTGACATATCTGGTTCGATCATTGTATCTGGGCCTGTCTTGCACTCTTTGTGGAACTGGTTCCACCCTCCTTTGCCTTTCAGGTGATCTCTGGACAATCTCTCCATTCACATACAGCTCAGCTGTCAAACATCATCCATTAATTTAATTAACTTCAATATCAAAACCCCAATTCACTTATATTATTATTAGCATACCTCCATAATCTTTGTTTTCAGCATCCACATATGAATCTGGTAGCACAAAAAGCACACCAGGCAGTCCTGTACAACATAGCTAAAAGCTGTGACTAACTTGTCCCTTCAAAAACTAATGGAATAGATAAAAATGCAGACAAACCTTCAAGCTTGTTTGATGTCTCTTCATCAATCTCGCACCCAAATCCAAAGTACCTCTCACAAGAAACGTTATATATCTTCTTCTTTGCTTCTTCCTCACTAGAAGAATTAACAAATTCGCAAACGCAAAGAAAGGTTATTCATCAAATTCTTACACACATAAACTCAAATCCGATCATTATTTTCCAAAACCAAACAGTTTGGTGCCTAAAAGATGGATTTTTTTCTTAGATGCCTTTTACGTCCATCAGGGGTTGTGGGATCTAATAACCTTCGTCTTAAGAAAAAATGCCTCAAAGACAACGACGATCACTAAAAACAAAAAGTGAAATTTGGCGTAAATTAGGGTTTTATGACGTACCTTCCTAGAACTTTAGATAGGGTTTCAACATAGCAGTCGATCATCTGCTGCTTGGTGGCGCCTTCACCGCCGGGCTTATCCATCACGATTAACCAATGCTCGTAATCACATCCGGGGAACAGCGGCGCCATCTCCGTCGGTGGTCGATCACTGAAGTTCGAACCGGAGTTCAGAGGAGAATAAGCACCTCCGGCGCGGGTTACACGGCACCGGATAGTGTTCAGACGAACCGCGCCCGGTGCGAACACTCGGAGGGAGTGTGAAAGAGAAACGGTCGACCGGACGGGTCGAGAAAATCCGGGTAGGGGCGAAGCTCTACCTATGGAAGATGAAGACGAAAATAGACGCTTGGACATGACAAGGAATGAAGAAGATGATCGGAAGGTTAGGAGTGACCGGCCAATGGCCGCTGTCGTTGTCGCCGCCATGACTACGGATACGGTGGTTTGGACGAGTGCAGTGATTGTAGAAGGGTTTATGGATAGAGGGGGCCAGGGGTGTTGGATATATAATATATTCACATATTCAATTATTGGGCTAAGATGAAAAGCAATAAGACCCAATCGATTTCAAATTAGCCCAATCAACTCTATTTGTATTTAAATTATTTTCCATATATATATATATATATATATATATATATATATATATATATATATTGCTTAGGAAATATGTGGCTGTCATGTACCTAAGCTTATATATATAACCCTCCCAAAAATGTAGTTTTGATCCATTTATATCCAAACTAATCATGATATCTCTTTTACTATTCTTCCTTAATCATGTGACTTACTAAATCGATCAAAATTATGTTTTTTTTTCATGGTGTCTAAAAACTTAAAGCATTAAAAGTCGTGACCATTTAATCTACCATACTAAATTCTAAATGAAAACTAATAGAATAAAAGATAAAATGAACATATTATAACTTAATCAAGTTTTTCACAAAATCATTTGATAAAGTCTTTCAATTGAAAGACAAAACACTTGAGTTATATTTGTTAAAAAAATATTGGTTTTTTATTTTCTCTATAAACTTCAATAATTATTTGCAACAAAGAAATATATATAATTGATCTTTTTCATTCCATAATTGAACTTAATTCAATGGTATTCTATTAAAACAAAACTAAGAGAAAATGAAATTGGATTTGTTTTGTTTAAAACTACTTCGTTTAAAAAGTTCTATACCTAAGCTTAGGTACATAAAGGCTGCGATTTTTTGATAAAAAAATTCAAAAAAAAGTTTTGTAATGTCTAGGTATTTTTTTTATGC